GGAAATCGAGGGGTTATGACGTCATTGGCAGGCGACACAATGACACTATAGACACGGACCGTGTCACTAGTTAAAATTGCTTATTTCTCTGGATTTAAACATTCTTCGAAACATTTGGGATAGTGTAAGTACACAAGTCAGCAAAACATATAACACTGTTCTAGTGGTTTTTGGATATTTTAATAAAAATATCTTACATATTGTGCCTTTAAGTTATTTAACAAAAATGCACAAACATTAAAATACATACTGAATATCATGAGAGGACCGAAAATATTGCAATATGCTTATGTATTAACTATTTTATATTTGACCCAGAACTTTTTTTTTTTTTTTTTTTTTTTTTTTTTTTAAAATATTTTTATTATTTTTTATTTTTTAAAATAGCCTTTTAAATACTAGAATAATGGCAAAAGTTAAGATTTTTTAAACCGTTTGTTTACCAATAAATTATTTTTTTTATTTGTTTATTAAAAAACGTTTTTTTTTTTGGTTTTTTTTTAGAATATGGGTGACAATTTAGACCCTTTATTTTTCCACAGCATTTGTTTGTTAATTTATCAATAAATTTAAAATTGTTTATAAAGTCTTTTAAATTTTAGAATTCCGGATTCAAACCCCGTTCTCTGTTTACAAAACAGCTTAATAAATAAAACTAAAAGCTAAACTTAATAAAACAAATAATAATTAACATGTCCCAAAAGTATCTGTCTTGAGCAATGCATGATATAGGTCCAAAAGTGGGATGTTTTTAGGTGTAATATAGCAGGCCAGCACATTGTTTTGGAAGGTTTCCTTGTGTCAGGGTTGGTTGGAGGAGAACTTGTCTGTCTGGCTGGGTGATACTCTTCCATAGGATTAAAATATTTTATTGATTTTATTAAAATCAAACAACAGATACCACCTTTTTATTTATTGCATACCATAATATACGTTTTTACAGTTTTTGGTTCTGTTTTTAACTTATTTTTTCTGTATTGCGGGAATTGGAAAATGTGCAAAAAAAAGCATGACTCAAAACTACTGTCCAATCACTTTTTGAACGTAAATTAAAATAGTTTATTGATTTTATTAAAATTAATTTATATAATTTAAAACAACAGATGCCACACTGATGCAATAAATAAATTAGGTTTTACAGTATTGCTTATCTTTTTAATTTAGTTTTTTTTCCACTTTAGGAATTGGAAAATGTTCTTGCAATGAAATAAATAATTAAATAAATAAAAAAAGCAGTCAAAGGACCAAAAATATTGAATTATGTTTGTATTATATATTTCATATTTGACCCAGAAGGGAATTGGAAAATGTGATTGCAAATGTAAAAAAAAATTTTAAAAAATAAAAATTGATCTTTTGATTTACGGGTGAAATTTGATCTGGACATGTTATCATCCATGTTCTTGACAGTATTGATGAGATTGACCCCTGAAGTGAAGTCGTGTTGTTCTCAGGTGTGTAGTCATGCTGTTTTGATTTCTTTGACAGGTCGAATGACTCCGGGCTGCTGTCCCATAAAGAGCATTTGCCGGTGCGAGCGCTGGCTGTGGGTGACATCAACAGATCGGGTTCAGAAGCGGCCTACAGAGTGGGACCCCTGCAGTGTTACGGTGACAGTAAGTACCTCACTAATCACACTGTGAGCGCTTACTCTGTCATTCTGTCAAACCCACCGCCGCTACATCAGCTCTGGCTGGATTGGCATTTCATGTGCTTAATGAAAACCACAGGCCAACTATATAAATACTGCTACTGTAAATGTTTTCTCCAGATAACTTCTGGAACGCTGCCTACTTCAACAAGGAGACGTCGTACCTGCACTTTCCCACGTTCCACGGGGAGCTGAGCGCCGATATCTCCTTCCTGTTTAAGACCAGCTCTTCATCGGGAGTGTTTCTGGAGAACCTGGGGATCAAAGACTTCATCCGGATCGAACTGAGCTGTAAGTGCGTTCAACCTTCCGGTTTATTCCTCTGAATCTCACAAAAACCTGCCAAGATGTTTCAGCATGAAATAAAAAGGAACAGTTTTTGTTTTTTGACGGACCATTAAATTTTTTTTTTTTCATATAGTAATTAAGTACCTCCAAAGTCTTAAAAGAAAAGCTCATTTAATTTGGGAGTATATATATATATATATATATATACACAATATAAATTATATAAATATGAATACAATTATTATTAAAAGTAGTTTAATGACAATTAGAAGTTAATAATTGAATAAAATGTAATATATATATATATATATATATATATATATATATATAAGGGGTGTAATGGTACACGGGTCTTTCGGTTCGGTACGCATGTGTACCGAACAAGTCGTTCCATTTTTTCAAGAAATTCAGACAATAAATGCCAATGTTTTGCCGCTCTTTGATGAGGCGCGACAGCTCGCTGTATAAATGGCTCAGTTCTGACGGCAGCGCGGTGCGCGAGTGAGCGTGATCATCCCTTCCTCTTTATTTAAAAATTAGCTTCAGCAAGAAATATTTTGTTTGATTCAACATAAAATGTATTACATATACTCTTTTGGACCATGACCCTCATAGTAAATGATGACAAAATTTTCATTTTTGGGCGGGTGAACTATACTTTTAATAATTTATTATTATTACTATGGAAATATGAAATTATACTCTAAATAATAAACTAAAACTGCCAGTAGGTGGTGGTAAATGTCTTAATGATTAAGTCATCGAGTCATTCATTCATTCATTCATTTGATTCGTTCAAATAGCTGATCTGCACAGCGCTGCTTCAAGTCAAAATGAAAATGTAAGATGACGTATGTGGTGCGGGGCAGGTGCGTTAATTGCGTAAAAAATTTGAACGCATTATTTTTTCCCATAACTAATTCATAGATTAACGCGTTAAATTGACAGCCCTAATATATATATATATATATATATATATATATATATATAT